AGTCAGGCTTGGGCCCACAGTGACAAAACTTGTTGGGCCTCACGGGATGGGGTGGAGCCGGGCTTGTCCTCCCCACCCCAACGAGACCCCAAGTCATCACCCACGAACAGCCTCTCTGGCTCCTCATCAAGTTGCTCAATGGCCATGATCCCAGAGACTCAGGAGCAGATCTCAAAACCCAGTGGCTTTTGGCAGAAATTCCTCCAGATTTAAGTGTTAAAATTTTGGAATTTCAAAACCACATGGCCCTATTGCAGCCACGCAATATCATATGTTATTCATAACCAGCAATAGAACACAAGTTGTCTATTGTTGCCTTTTCAGCAGATCTGAGTGTTGGGGTAAAATCTCAAATAATAATGGTGGGTCTGGTGTTGAAATATTGAATGTGATCAAAGTAGAGAGAGAGTAATGTGGAAATCATCTGCCCCACGGGTAGGGGGAGGGTTTGGGATGGGGGTATACTGGGTTTTTGGTGGTAGAGAATGGGCACTGGTGAAGGTACGGGTGTTTCATTGTATGACCGAGACTTAGACCCAAAAGCTTAGTAACTGCTCTCACAGTGATTCAATAAATAAAATTATTAAAAATGAAAAAAAGGTGGAGTTCATGCACAATTCAATTAGCTAATCAGTGGTTGAATAAATAGCAGTACCCCTACAAAAAAAAAATTTTTAAAAAACCACAATGAGATACCATCTCACACCTCAGAGACTGGCCCACATCCAAAAGAACAAAAGCAACTGAGAAAGGGACACTCTTTCACTGCTGGTGGGAATGCCTACTGGTTCAGCCCTTTTGTAAAACGGTATAGACGATTCTCAAAAAATTAGAAATTGAGCTCCCATTTAACCCAGCAATACCACTCCTGGGAATATATCCCAGGGAGGCAAAAATGTGTAGTTAAAGTGACATCTGCATTTGTTTGTTCATTGCAGCACTCTTTACAATAGCCAGAAACTGGAAGAAACCTGAGTGCCCAAGAACAGATGACTGGTTAAAGAAACTTTGGTACATCTACACAATGGAGTACTATGTAGCTGTTAGAAAAGATGAAGTCATGAAATTTACATACAAGTGGTACTACATGGAAAGTATCATGCTAAGCGAAATGAGTCAGAAAGAGAGGGATAGACATAAAAAGATTGCATTCAACTGGGGGACATAAAGTAACAAAATAGGAGATTAATACCTAAGAATAGCTGAGATCAGTACCAGGAGGATTACTCCATGGCTTTGAGGCCAGCCAGGCATTCTAGGGGAAAGGGCAGCTCAGATAGAGAAGGGAGCCCCAAATAAAGGGTGTTTGGAGGATCCTCCCAGGAGGGGAGATGCATGTTGAAAGTAGACTGTGGACTGAACATGATTGCCATTCAATGCCTCTTTTGCAGACCGCAGCACCCAGAAGGAGAGAGAGAACAAAAGGGAATACCCTGCCACAGAGGCAAGGTGGGATTGGGGGATGGGTGTGGGAGGGATACTGGGATCCATGGTGGTGGAAAATGGGCACTGGTGGAGGGATGGGTATTTGATCATTGTATAATCGAAACCCTGGGCTGGAGCAATAGCACAGCGGTAGGGCGTTTGCCTTACACGCAGCCAACATGGCCGACCCGAGTTCGATTGCTCCGCCCCTCTCGGAGAGCCCGGCAAGCTACCGAGAGTATCTCGCCCGCAGGGCAGAGCCTGGCAAGCTCCCCGTGACGTATTCGATATGGCAGACACAGTAACAACAAAGTCTCCAATGGAGACGTTACTGGGCCCGCTCGAGCAAATCGATGAACAACGGGAGGGCCTTTACCTTTACCTTATAATTGAAACCCAAGCACAAAAATTTGTAAATCTACAACTGTACCTCATGGTGTTTCACTAATAAAAATTTTTTAAAAATAGTTAAACATACACACAAAGAGAGAGAGAGAGAGAGAGAGAGAGAGAGAGAGAGAGATTTTAAGGTTTCCTTATCAGTAGCTAAGGAATTAGAGAAATAGCCCCATGGATTCCCTCTGCCTGGACAAACATAGCCATAAAGACCTCAGAGAACTCAGAATAAGCTCAATCTGAACTTCAGAACATGCAGCCAGATATAGAGTCCCACTCAACCAATTTTTTAAAATTTACCAAGAGATCAGCATGATTCACAACAGTCAAAAGATTGAAGCTAGCAAAATATATATCAATGAGTGGACAAATAAGCAAACTATAGATACATACAATGAACTGTTCCTCAACCTTTTAACTGAAGGAAATTCTGACTCATGCTACAATAAGCTTGAACACTGAGGATATTTTTCTCAGTGAAATAAACCAGTTACAAAAGTTATATAACATATGGTCCCATTAGAGAAGGTGCCTAAAGTCATTGGGCTGGAGCGATAGCACAGCGGTGGGGTGTTTGCCTTGCATGTGGCTGCTCCAGCAGACCCGGATTTGATTCCTCTGCCCCCTTAGAAAGCCCGGCAAGCTACTGAGAGTATCTCGCCCGCACGCCAAACGCCTGGCAAGCTCCCCGTGACATATTCGATATGCCAAACACAGTAACAACAAGTCTCATAGTGGAGACGTTACTGGGCCCGCTCAAGCAAATCAATGAACAGTGCTACAGTGCCTAGAGTTGTTAAATTTATTGAGACAAAAATTAAAAAAAGATTCTAGGTGGACAGACTGGGTGGATGGAGTGAATATGAAGTTGTTTAATAGGTACAACATTTATTTCAGTTTGCCAAGACAAAAGGAATTCTGGAGATGGACAATGGTAATGGTTGTACAACAATGTGAATGTGCTTGATACCACTAAAATGTATACTTCTAATGATTTGACGGTCAATGTCACAGTGTAATACATAGTGACCACAGTAAAAGTACTAAAAGTCCCAGAAACCAGTCTCAAGGAGACCTTAGATATGACTAATCTATGATTGTGGATCTGCTCCCAGAAACCTATTCTTTTCTTTTGGGTACAGCCATGGTTCAAGAGCATAGACTCTGAAGCCAAACTTTTCCAACCACTAACTCAAAGGGACAAAATAAAATACTTTTTTGTAGTCTCTATTTCTTCACCTGTCAGATGGGAACAACCCAAAAACCAACCTCCCATAGCACACCAGGGATGAAGTAACGACGGATGAAAACAGGGTTGTGCTATTTCTTGGGGCACTTACTCCATCCTTCTCTCATTCTGTCTGTTTAATTTAGGGAGCTAACCAATGTTACTTCTTAATATCTGAAAGGCAGCCTTGGTGACAGAATGATCAAAAACTAGTCAGTAGCAAGTTAACACACAGTTCGGAGCATTTCTTCCTCCCTCAGATCCAGTATCCCAAGTACAGGAAATTCCAGGCCTGCCATTTTCTGAGTGAATCATGAATACTTTGTAGCAATATAACTCTGTCACCTCTAGAACATTTAAAAAATATATTTTTATCAGAGGTTTTCAAATTTATTTGACCTACCAACCAAGGGAAAATATCAATGTGACTCCCCCTCCATGCCCCCAACCCCCACCCACCCCATCCCAGAAAAACTACCTTCTTTAAAAGGAACAAAAAAGGTTTCCCAATTGCCCTGGAGGCTACTAACTGCACCACGAACCATTTCAGCACACCCCTGCCTTCCCAGAGGGCGCTAGCACCCATTTTGGGAAACACTATCAAAATGAACAATAGCATATAGCAAATCCCTTAAAAGCAGATTGATCTACTGAGTTCAGAATTTCTTAGTCCGCAATTAGTGCTCTATTTAAATGCCTCTTAAATACATTACAGGAAAATACCATTTTCCTTTCAAGACATTTCTAGAAAAATCCATTAAGATAAATGGCTCGATTTTTCAAAAAGTAACAGAGTTTGCAGAGTTTACTGGTCTGGTAAAAACATAGGACGGCCTTACACTAATTTCTAAAGTTAAACTCTTCAGACAGAAATGAAAGTTGATTGTCAACTTGAAAACGTCAGCCATTGTTAAAATGGTTTTGAAAGAGAACAACATCTTTTAAGGAGGACATCTGAATATGTGTTAGAGTAAATGAAACTTGTTAACTTCACTGAAGCACCACAGCTTTGAAAAACCTAAAGGAGTTTCGTTGTCTTATTTGTTAAAATAGCACATTAAAAAATATTTTGAAGAGCGACAGGATGCTTCTGACACATGAGTGGGAGGCTGCTGGCTACAGAGCATGATGCTGAGCTGTTAGTTCTCTAAGCTAATCTGTTTTGTTTGAAGAAAGAAAAAGGAAAAGAACTCAATTGAAGAGGGAAAAAACCACTCATAAGGGAAAAATCTGTTCAACACATGTGAAAATATTTGATTTACTTTTCCTTCTATACCTGACTGCTGGCATGAAGCAAATTATCCCTAGAAAAGAAGCTGAGAAATTCAGTTTCACAAAGAAAAACAAAACGAGAACTCTTGGTTTCAGTGCTGCTACTTCCCATCCCCCTCAATATCCCAGCACAGACATGAAGGTTCAAATGTCAAAAACTGTCAAAAAGACAGTTTATCACTGAAACGGTCAGCCAATATGTAACTCTATGCAGATTCTAGCCTGTGTTTTCATAACTAAGATTTCTCTTTAGAATTCTTGGGAGTTTCTGGGAGCTCTTTACTGTTTTTCTTCCCTTTTTTATTTAGCTTATTCTTTTAAAAAAATTATTAGTGAAACAACATGAGGTACAGTTGTAGACTTACAAATTTTTGTGCTTGAGTTTCAATTATACAATGATCAAATACCCATCCCTCCACCAGTGCCCATTTTCCATCATCACGGGTCCCAGTATCCCTCCCCCCCATTCCCCCCCCATCCCACCCTGAATCTGTGGCAGGGAATTCCCTTTTGTTCTCTCTCTCCTTTTGGGTGTTGTGATTTGCAGAAGAGGCATTGAGTGGCAATCATGTTTGGTCTATAGTCTACTTTCAGCATGCTTCTCCTAACCCCTTTACAAAACAAACAAGAGGAAAACCACCACATTTCATCAAGGTAATTAGTATATTAAATGTCTTACCAGCCACTTGTAACGTCTGGCCACTCCTTGCTGGGCTGTCATCATAATGTTCAAAAAGTGAAAACGCAGCAGGCATGTCCTCTAAAGAAGCCGTGCGCTCCATTGCAGAAAGCAACCTATTCACAGGGAAAATGGTTCTAGAGTCAAGAAATCATTAACACAGAAAACAAATGGTACAGTTGTTCCAAAGGAAGATGGTGGGGATGGTCAGTTCTTATGGCATTGTGTTATCCATAAAGGACTTAGACTATTTAAAAAAATAGAAATAGTTATTTAAAAAATCTATCTATAGACTGGAGTGATAGTACAGGGGATAGGGTACTGGCCTTGCGTGAGGTCCACGTGGGTTTGATCCCTGACACCCCTGCCAGAAGTGAGAGCTGAGCCAGTGAGCTCTGAGCACCACTGGGTGTGGCACCCAAAAGCAAAATGGAACAAAAAGATTATAAAGTATAAATAAAATTACCTAAAGAGCTGTGCTTAACCGGGCTATGCATAATAAAACTCACTCTCATATGCGTTAGGGAAGATAGTTCTGTTAAAGGCTTCAAACAATGACATCTGGGCTGAATACACAGGGAGCAGCAGGAGTAAACTCAGACCTGTGCCTGGCACTTTCAAGGGTCAGAGAGGACCTGAGGTACTCTGAGAAATGGGGTGTAGAGAGAGTCTGAGATAAAATGGAAATGTGGTTTGTGGCTTGACTGAAAAGTCATTCAAAAGTTTCCATTTTATTTATTTTTGCTTTTTTTGGGGGGGGTCACATCTGGTGATGCACAGGGGTTACTCCTGGCTCTGCACTCAGGAGTTACTCCTGGCAGTGCTCAGAGGACCATATGGGATGCTGGGAATCGAACCCGGGTCGGCCGCGTGCAAGGCAAACGCCCTACCCGCTGTGCTATGGCTCCAGCCTAAAAGTTTCCATTTTAACTCAGAAGGCAAGGAGAGCCACTGAAGTCTTTACACAGAGAAATGGAGAAGAATCCGCTGGCAGGAGCTGAGAAAAAATCAGGGACAGTAGACCAGGGAGGGAGATCAGTTTGGGGCCCCCCACCCCGACCCCCGTAATGGGACAGGGAGGGAAGAACATAGGACCTCAAACTAAGCCTTTGGGGATACAGAGGGTAGGAACCAGGGACTCCAAATTAGCCAAAAATAAAAGTAGTGCATATACTGTGTCCACATTAATAGCTATTGGAGAGCTTTTATGTAGCACAAAAAAAGCTCTGGTGGCAGATGCCACAAGTAAAACACTTCAGCTTTCACTCACACACTGACTTGTCCAATTTTAATATCAGTATATGAAAGGATAAGCAGACATCTTTTTTTTATGAGCAGTTCTTACATGGTTGAGACTCTTTTTCATTAATATAACAAAAAGAGCAAAACAGAGAAGGGAAAAATATATCTTCTTAACAGAACAGCATTTTTGAAGCAAATGTGTTTTTCAAAATATGCAAATTTGAGATCTAAATATGCTTGACAGCATTTCTTAATTTAAGCATTATCGGTGTTGAGAAAAAATCATTTAATATACAAGCACTGCCTTTAGAGATGTAAGCACAAAGAATATAGAATGAGCGGCAGCAAGGATAAAAACCAACTGAGAAATAGGCATTTCTCATAGAAAGGGACACCAATAACACTAACACATGGAGACAGAAGTCGTGCTGAGGATGTGAATGGCTTCTTTTGAGTGAAACTATCAAGAGGCATCATTTTGTGTGCATGTGTTCAAGTTTCACTGGGCTGTCTTCAACTGCTCTTATCTTTTCCTTGAATACCCAATGTTCTTGTGTGTCTTGCTCTTTACAGAAAAAAAAATGGTGGCATGCAGCTTTAGCAAATATTAATTAATTGTCAATGGGTCAATAAAAATCAAAATTAAATAGCACACATACAAACAAATTCAGACACGAAACCAAAGAAATGGTATTTAGTATTCAATGGATGCCACTTTCTCTTAGCAGGTTAAAAGTTTGATATTTAAAAAAATGAAAATGTACCAAAGCATTTTTTAAAGTCTAAAGATAAAAAAAGTCCATTCATCAAATCTTGCTTCCATGAGGGGATTAAAATGTAAATAAGCAAATACATATTGACACTATTTGTGTGTTCAGCATAGTACTAGAAACCTATATACATATTTTAGATAAAAATATGTGTTAATAAATTTTAGAGAAAATTTCTACTTTTTTTTAATGAAGAAAAGTGGGAGCAAGACTTGTATAGCACTTTGAGTTGGAAATGCTATGAGAGTTAGCAAATAAGTAGGTGCCTCACTTTCCAGCCCAGATTTTTATGCCTAGATGTGGGAACGGGCTCCAGGAGCACTGAGGTAACAAGATACACAGGCAATACGGGGACCACTGGGGACAAGACAGATGACCATGAACCAGAGATTTTCAATGACTGTGCATTAGAATCCTCCAGTAAACTTACCAAATGCACAGGTTCAGACCCCTGTCCAATTAAACCAGAATCTCAGGATGTAAATTCAGACATCAGCATTTTTTAAACCTTTACTTCTTCTTCAGTATATATTTTTAAAAACTGAGTTATCATAATAAGATAGGCCATCTTTTACATTTTTTAAAATAATTCTATTTATAACAGAATCCTGATAGTAAAATCTCTTGTAGTTAATGCCAATGTTACTGTTCAAATCATTTTTACATATTGGCAATAAGTTGAGTGCAATTTTTTAAAGGTAAATAGTATTCATCCATGTAATTTTAATACATCAAAAATATCAATTTTATGATTTTCTAATTTTGCTTTATCAATTTCATCATAAACTGAGGATCATGTTTAGAGTTGTAGAAATTGACATTAAAAGTATAACATTAATTTCATTTTAAATAAGACTCAACCAAGTGGCAATGACCTCAGGTCTTGTCATGGGGGCAAACAGAGAATGTGACTGGTGAGTAACAGCATTTCAATGTCAGAGGCTCCAAAAGAGAATCACGGATTTGATGTTAGACATTTTCATAGACAACATTTCCCACTTTCTTGCTGAGTTTTCTCCCTTTTGGAGAATAAAGTATTTCTCTTACAATGAGAGTTAAGAATGATAACAAACTAAAACCAAAAGAGTCATATAATGTAGTTGAGCAAAAAGAGAAGATATTATTTTTTGGAGGGAAAAATCAGAGAACATTCCTTTAATATTATATAAGTCATAAAATTACCCAAGGCAGATAGGAATGATTCTTCCAAATGCTCATATTTAATAAGTCTAATTATTTTTAATACTTTCTATATGCAATGACAGGAAAGGTGGTCTGGATTAGATTGGAAACACAGACTATATCTCAAGAAAGCAGTTCAAAATCTACGTTCTGAAAATTGTTATTTAACTAAAGCACATGCAATTTTCTTTTAAAACTGTCATTTAGCTTCTATAAGCACTGTGCCTAAGAGTGAGAATCTAGTAGTTAACTAAGTGTAGCAGCTCATTTTCTATAAAGCATCAAAAAGTACAATTAAGCATCTAGTCGTCATGCTACTTTCATTCACCATTACATTGCGCCGTGTTGATATACCTTTCATTGATTTCCTCAAAAGACTAAGGAGGAAACGAGAGAAAGAGAGAGAGAATAATTTTTAAAATAAAGAAAAATATCAACTTAAAACATTAAGATGATGCCTGTTCTTAAAATCATTTCTCCTCAGCTTCTTCTGAGACCATTTATTTATCTTGGGTGGTTTCAGACCAAGGGTCAAAGTAATTGTGCAGAAGGATGAAGAATGGAATCTTTAGTTTTTTATCTCTGTTCTGCTCTCTATAATCAACAAGGCCTGTGATGAGTGGTTCCTGCTCTGTTTCAGAGATAGAATTCTCTGAAGAGAGCAGAGACGGAATTCTCTGAAAAGAACAGAGATAGAATTCTCTGAAGAAAACAGAGAGAATTCTCTGAAACAAGAAAAATAACTTGGAGTTGTTCAGTGTGGCATATATACCAAAGATATAATCATAGTTAACTCTGGGTGATGACACATTCTTTGTGATTTTCTGTATTTTCCAAATTTTCTAAAATGGATATACACCATTTTATATGCAGGAGAAAATGCTTTCCTCTTAACAATTTATTCTTCTAAAGAGAAGAAAATATTCTTATCGAAGATTCTTAAGGAACACAAAGCACTTGATTCAGTCTATACTTCCTAATTCTTAATTTACAAATATGCAAACTTCATCTTAATTAAAAGTAAAGTCAGTGATTTTCATTTTCCTTGGAGAATGGCCACATCTACCGTATCCACATTTCCCCCAGTTGAAAGTGTTCCCAAAAGCAAATCCGCAGTCAAATATTGCCCATTTTCCCTGCTCTACCTCCAAAATTTATTAGAAGGCTGAGATGATTTATGAAGTCTGAGAGGCCCTACCCCCACCCCCTCCAGAAATGGGCTTTTTTCTTTACTTGATAGGTTTGGGACCGCCCTCAGGAAAACCTCTCCACCCCTCCCAGATAATCCTGTCCCCAGAGAGTGAGAATGGATAGCTCGCTAAAACTTCTAGGAATGAGCATTGCAAAGCTCTGACCCTGCCTCCAACTTGCAGTGCACCCAAGGAACTTTCTATCCACATGGTACTTTGTGAACTAAGGAACCTGGTTCCCAAGAAATCCCTGTAAAAACATTAACATGTTCCTTTCACAAGGTATAGGCTGTCCGGTCTCATCCGTAAAGCACAGCACAATGTTCCTCTTACTGAGGCTCAGAAGAATGGTCACTTTACACTAAGAGGGGAGAGAATAGGGCCAGGAGTCAGTATCAGGTAGCCAGGCCTGGAAGATCAGGACAGCACCCAAAGGTAAAGCGAAGCAAGAAAATGGTTTTCAGGCTGCTTTCTCTCCCCCTCCAAAGGTGACCCACCCAATGTGACAAAACTGACAACTAATGTCATGGCCCCACTTCCATGTAGGTTATGACCTACAGCTTGAACTTGGTGTTTCTAACTTTAAAGATTTGCTGGGCCTTTTCCATAACTACCAGGGATGCCCTAATAGTTTTTTAAATTTAATTTTACGTTCCATGATTTATAATACTGTTAATGACAGGGTTTCCTGCATAAAAAATCCTAGCACCACATCCTTCACTAGAGTGTCTGCTTCCCCTATTTGTTCCACCCCCTCCCCCCCCCCCACACACACACACATACTCCACCCCACACACACCTCTGTGTGTGGTAAGCTCCCTACTGCAGACCATTCTCCGTTTCTGTTTCCCTGGGGCATTTGTTACTCCCCTGCTGTGTTTCCTTATATTCCATGTATAAGAAAGATTATTCTGTGCTGCCTTCATAATTTTTAAATGTCAGATAGTTACAAATTATCTTAGGGAACATCAGAGATGAATTTTTTAAAATAGACTATGCCAAGGTGGGTGCAAGTTGTGTGGGCCTGTCGTAACAGGTGCTTACAGTCAGGAACACAGTCTCGTCAAGCTCCTCTGCTTCTCTCACGATGCTCTCCAGGGTGTCTTTGGCAGTATCCATACTCTGCAGAAAATGGACCATTTGGTCATGCAAGAATTCCATCTTCTTTTTCTTCACTTCCTCAAAACTCTGAGCCTTCTCATCATACTGTGCCAAAACTCTCTTCATCATTTCTTCATTCTGTTCTTCTAGCCTTTTCTCATTTTTACTACAGTTTTCCTAAAAAGCAAATAAAAATGTCTGAATGAAACAAGTGTGTATCTTTTCCTCTTTTTAAAGAGAACCAACAGACTTTTACAGAATTGATGTCTGATTTCCTGAACAGAAAGTTACAGATTATGTACACACACTATAAATTTCCACAGCCCCCACCACTTCGTCAGTAACAATGCAATAGAATTTATTTTGAGAAAATTATCAAAAAGCATTCAGTACATGGAACATGCATACAAAAGATGTTTGTATGGGAGTTTTTTTCCACATGATGAAACTTGAATATGGCCTTTCAAGGGAATGTGGATCTATGAGCTGCAGGAAATGGATTGGGGGGAGGTAGTATCATCTTCAACACTCCCTGAAAATCCTATGTGATCGTAAGGAAGAGTGGAGGAAGGTGGGGAGCAGACAGGATATTGGACAGTTTGCTACACTCACACAGCTCTTCAGGGATGAGGCACTTTTACTCTGGTAGGGGAAACTGAATTGCCCATCTGAACAAATCCAGGTGTTTGGTTCTTCTCACTAGCACAGTAAGGGATAAGGTTTGATTGTATAATTGACTGTATAAAGAGGATGCTTTGGGAGTGATTATTAGCAGATATAAACTGATCTGCAACAAGGTTAAGCAACCAGCTCACAAGCAAACCAGGACATAGACTTTATCTGAGCGATGGGGGACTGGGCACCTGCCTTCTTCCAGGGGCCTTGAATCCTCTGCAATGCCTTCCTGACAATTGAGGCAACCTGGACCATCACTGCATATGAGCTGAGTATCCCCTCACTGCGAAGGACACCTGGAGGATATGAACTCTTCAAGAGAATGATACCATGAGACACTCATTTGTCCTCAACAATGATTTCATGCACCTCTACAGAGCTATGAACTCAGACCCAAGTTCAAATCTTAGCTTTCAACCAAGTCCTTGGGTATATTTAACTCTAAGTCCCAGTATCTCTAAAACAGGAACTATAATAATAATAATAACAACAACAATAACTGTATCATAGTTGTGAGATATTTATTTCACAACTATGTGAAAATTTTACATACTATGTGAGAATTAAATTGAAAAAGGGAAAGCACTTACTCCATCATCAAAAGTACCAAATAAGTGTGTGGGCATTTTTAAAAAATTTTATTTTAGGCACCGTGATTCACAATACTGTCAATGGTAAAGCTTCATGCACAAAACATTCTAGCACCACATTCTTCACCTGCGTGTCTGCTTTCCCCCACAACTGTTCCAGCATCTCCCTCTCTATCCTAGCCTCTCTGCCCTATCCCTCCTGTGGTACTTGACCCAGCTGCAGTAAGGTTCATATTAAGCACCAATTCTTAGTTTCTGTTGCCTTTGGACATGTGCTATTTTCTTGCAATGTTCTTTATATCTCACATATGAAGAAGATCATTCTATATCTGTCACCTTCTGACTACACTCAACATGACACTCTACAGATATTTCACACTAGTGAGACTGGCACAAAGAAAAACAATCACTGTTGACATAGAATGTGAAGGGAAAGAGACCCCCATTTGCTGCTGGTGGGAATGTCATTTGATGGTACAACCTTTTTGAAAATAACATGTGTGCATTTTTAAGAACAAAAAGTCATTTTTTCTTAGAAACTAGTCCCACAGTAATACACCGGGAAGACACAGAGGACCCTCCACTATGTGTATGAGGCAGGGGGCAGGGGGGCTGCTGAGAAGGGTCCATCCCAGGACTTCACACACGTGAGTCATGTGCTTTACCTCTGATCTATGTCTCCAGCTTCAGGATTTTCACTTGAAATAGAATAGGTAAGGTAAAGGCCCTCCCGTTGATCGTCGATTTGCTCGAGCGGGCCCAGTAACGTCTCCATTGGAGACTTTGTTGTTACTGTGTCTGGCATATCGAATACTCTTGGTAGCTTGCCGGGCTCTCCGAGAGTGGCGGAGGAATCGAACTCGGGTTGGCCATGTTGGCCGCTTGTAAGGCGAACGCCCTACCCTCTGTGCTATCACAAATAGAATAAAACATTGGCAAACAACATTGGATGCACAAGCCCCAATTCATATTCTTTAATTTATTTGTTTGTTCATTCATTCATTCAATCATTTATGTTTTTTTGTGTTACAGCGGCAATGCTCAGGGGTTACTCTTGGGTCTGAACTCAAGGGACCATATGGGATGCCAGGGATTGAACCTGGATTGGCTGCATGCAAGGCAAAAGCCCTACCCACTGTATTATCGCTCCAGCCCCTCATATCCTTTTAGGTTGGAATCACTTACCTGTGCTATCACAAACAATCAAAGTAAAGGAGATATGGTAACTTAATGCCCAAAAGTAGAGAAAGATTATGGGGAATCATATCTGCCATGAGGGCAGAGGGAGGGTGGAAAAGAAGGGGTATACCGGGGATATTGATGGTGGGGAATGTGCAACTGATGGAGGAATGGGTGTCTGATCATTATGTGACTGTAACCCAAACATGAAAGCTTATAACTATCTCATGGTGATTCAATACTAGCACTGTCCTCCCGTTGTTCATCAATTTGCTCGAGCGGGCCCAGTAAAGTCTCTATTGTGAGACTTGTTGTTACTGTGGTATATCAAATACGTCACGGGTAGCTTGCCAGGCTTTGCCATGTGGGCGAGATACTCTTGGTAGCTTGTCAGGCTCTCCAAGAGGGTGATTCGATAAAATTTTTTTAAAAATACTTGTTAGGGGCCAAGAATATTGCTCCATAGTTGGCAGCCTGCCTCATGAGCTGGGGGAGAAGGAAGATGGAATAGAGATGGCATCATGAAGTCAATGATGGTTGGGGGAGATCATTCAGGATGGGAGATATGTGCTGAAAGTAGATAAAGGACCAAACGTGATAGCCTATCAGAATCTATATTGCAAATCATAATGCCCAAAAGTAGAGAGAGAGAGTATGGGAGAAATTGTCTGCCATACATAGAGGCAGGAAGAGGGTTGGGTTGGGGGATGGATACTGGGGATATTGGTGGTGGAAAAAGTACATTGGTGGAGGGATGGGTGTTCGATCATTGTATGACTGAAACGCAAACATGAAAGTTTTATGTATCTCAGTGTTTCAATTAAAAAAATTGATTAATTTAAAAAAAAAGGAGATATGGTAACTTACCTCAACGGTATTAAAAAAGGATTCTATCTCAGTAACAAAGGCTTCAATCCTCAAAGACTTTTCTTGTAAATTTTCTAGAAATTCTGCTAACTGAACCTAAAGAAAGGAAGATAGTTTTAGTATATGACTTTTGGGTAAAGAACTTAAAGCAGTGAGCTCCACTTTGCTTATAAATATAGTGTGTCTAGTAGAAATTGTACTATATCATGTTCATCAACAAATACCTATCTTTAAATTTCCTTTGCTGCTTTCTCTAAATTGCCCAAGTAAATCCCTAGAACAAACCATTCAGAGGTTCAGAGGTATGTGAATGAAAGCCACACATTCATCATTTTCTCATATAAGAAGATGGATTTCTGAGTGAGTTGGTGAGATCGAAGCATACTTGTAACAGTGAACCATAGATTAGAGCTCTTTTTCCTTAGTAAAATCTCATTTTTCAGTAATCTATTTTCTTCTAAGGTATCAGAGCTTTTGCTGAATTGATTCAATACACTTGAGTAGTTTCCTCACACATGTAGAATGGCCTTAGGTGTTCCTGGAGCACATGAACTGAGAAGATAAATGAAGCCAGATTTACCAGGCCAAAATCTAGCAAATGAATATTTTGCTAGCAAAAAAAAAAAATAGCAAAATCTAGCAAATCTAGCAAATTTCCTTCATTTTACTTCCAAAATGAAGGAAACTGTCTGCTAAAGAGACCTGAGATGCTAATGGCCCTCAAAGAGTTAAAACAGTCAAGAGGGAAGGTCAAATATAAACATGGGTGACAGGAAAGAAGACACTACTTTAGACATAGTTAGAAACCTAAAGCTGTGACCCATCCTGGTAAACAAAAGAACAAAGCAGAATAGCAGAGGTTCAGCTACCTCATTCACTACCAGAGAATGATTGGGAAGTTACACTGATGGAAGTTCCTTCAAGATCTATCTTCTGCTTCTTTCTATAGCCCCTGCTTCTTCTCCACAAGCCCCTTTCCTTGGACTCGTTCTCACCTATGTGTCTTTCATACAGTATTCCTTACTTCTAGAATGTCCCGTCTGTTCATGATGACTGAAAAAACTCCATCTTATTTAAGGTTCACTCAAGCATCATCTTTTCTAGATAACTCACCGGTCCTGTAATCATTTTACTCACTCCCACAATGTTGGTTTCTTAGGACACTTAGCTCTCACAGTGCCAAACTAATTTGGGGGAAATCTACATTCCCTCTTCCTCATTTTTGTTTTTATTCTCAATGATTGGAAAGTTTCTGTAATGAAATATGAAATTAGTAAACAAAGGGACAGAAACAGAAGCAAGTAAGTGAAGGAAGAAATAAAATATAAACAAAAGACAAGTCACAATAGAAGGGATGAGGTGGGAAGAGGCAAGGACCTGGCTAATCATAAATGTGGCTGTTGGTTCCTGGATAATCAGAAATGTCCTACTGGGAAGAGTCTAATAACCCCTTAAGTCAAATCTTAATTTTTAAAAGTTGCTAGCTAACTCGGTGTTCTTGGTTTACTTAATAAGATGAAGCAAGACTCTTTCACTTTAACAACTAGTTTTCCACTTTTTCTTTACTATTGAGAGCAGAAGGTAATATAAAAAATAGTTTTAGAAGGAAACATCCTATCTGTATTATTTTAAATTGACAGTGCTTAGATGGGATTACTTTTTAACTTCCAAAGTTGTATACATATTAAAACAGAACTTAAAAAGTTAGAAAAATCTGGGGGTTTTTTTTCTGCTGATAAGTGGAATGGGAGTCTATTCCATGGATACTAATTTATTCCAAAGTCCAAGATTTCTTACAATAAATTGCCTTATTCCCTAACTCCAAATTTGACCTACAGAAGAAAATCAGTATCAGACAAGTTAAGAAAGATAAATTTGGTATACAAAACATTACCAGGATTCCATTAATACCTTTTTGAATCAAAATGAGTCTGACAATTATTTAACACTGACTTAATTGAATAATTATTGTGAAAATTGGCTACCATTAATTAGCAAGGCAGTCTGCCGATCACAATAGATATGCGATCATGAGTCAGAGTTCTGGCCTCAGACAAATCTGGGTAACAAGCCTTATGCCATGACCTTGGAAAAATCACTTAAACGATCTGAGTCTATTTCATTATCTGATGGCAATCGTTTGTGAGGATTCAAAGCTCTCTTGTAAATAACCATGGGATTCAGCCTACAGAAATAAGTCTGTTAAGACGGTGGGAGCAAGTTCAAGGCAAGAATAGTAGGGACCTAGAAATGGTGGAAGGATATTGGCATCCTAGTGGTGAGTGTGATGCAATAACATTGTAAGCTTATAACATTAATATTAATACATCATAAATCATAATGCTTCAATTTTTAAGTTATTTCATAATTAAATAATACATGTGTCTGGTAGTAAGTGCCTAATTCTTACTATTATTTGATGTTAAGATCATTTTGGCAACTGTATGGAAGTTGTACTGTCACTGTCACTGTCCTCCTGTTCATCAATTTGCTCGAGCAGGCCCAGTAATGTCTCCATTGTGAGACTTGTTGTTACTGTGTTTGGCATATCGAATACATCATGGGGAGCTTGCCAGGTTTTTGGTGTGTGGGCGAGATACTCTCGGTAGCTTGCCAGGCTCTCTGTGAGAGGCAGAGGAATCGAACCTGGGCTGACCAGGTTGGCCATGTGCAAGGCAAACAGCCTATCTGCTGTGCTATGCTCCAACCACAAGATGTACTAAAGATCAGATATAAAAGTAAGGATTCCACTTAGAAGGCTATTGAAAGGTAGAGGAGAATCTCAAAGATTAAAAATTTGGTTTTCATTAACATCTCTATGGAAGTAGAGTATCTGTAATCACATACATAAGGATATTATGATTAACTACTTAACACTGGAAAACTAGAGACATAGAAAGAATACATAATTCTCCCATTTCTAACATCAATTTTATAAGAGAAAACATGGAGAAAGTCTAAATTTAAAATGTCTTACAGAATATTTTATATGATTTACAATAAAATTTATTCATTTACATAAATGTGTATTTTTAAAATTTTCTTCAGATTTGGGGGCTCCATCAATTTGGGTACTCAGATGCTTCTCCAGGCACATTGCTCAGGAGTCTCCAGGAGGACAGAACTTGAGTCTCATGAACATAACATGAACTATATTCTCACCCCATACATGTGTATTCATAAAGAATAATATTATAGATAACACAATATAGATAACATAAAGTGTTTTATTTTTAAAGTAAATTTTTAATTTAAAGCTGTATAGTGTTTCTCAGGGATGGAGAGATAGTACATGTGGCTGACCCGGGTTCAATCCCCAGCACCTAATACGGTCCCCCAAACCCATCACAAGTTGCACAGAGCCAGGAGTAAGTCCTGAGCCCCACTGGGTGTGGCCCAAACAATAAGCACATTTGGTTGGGGGAGTGAGGTAGCAAAAAAATTAAATTATTTGGAGTTTTTTGGCAATGTTAAGGACAACTGCTATGATATAACAAAACCCCTCAAAGCAGTGACTGGGTTATTTATCTTGGCATCTCCAAAACTTGTATAAAGGCTAAGCACATAGGATTTGTCTAATAAATGTTTGTTAAATTAATCTTAATGAGATGCCTATCGTAATAATATTTTTATACTTTCAGACTTTGTAAGGTTTTAGCTATCACTATTATGCCTAATGCTGAATTTATCTACTATTCGTCGTTTTAAATTGAGAACATGTGAAACGAAATCCAATGTGTTATGAATTTATATGATTTAAAATCTATTTACCTTTACAGCACTTATAGCTGTGTCAAGCGTTGAAACCTCATGGTCTTTATGGGTGCCAAGGAGCTTGTCAGCAGCAGAAATTAGACCTTTGCAGGTGTAGCAATATGTCTCAACCTGGGTCTTCTTCGATTCTCTTTGATCATTTTCCATTACTACCTCTGGTGAGACTTGATCTTGTTCTGTTTTCTCTCTGCCCAACTCTTGTGGTTCAATAGACATACTTTGTTCCACTTGATTCACAAATTCACTTTCACTGATGAATTCAAAAGATTCCTTTTCTTGAGATACATCTTCAGGCAGGGGCTCTGAATGTTGTTCTTCTGATAAAACATCTTGAGTAACCACTTCATAACTCAGGGATTCAGCAAATTCATACTCATCCTGAACAGGGCTATTGCGGGGCCTAGCTTCACTTGGCTCAGATGGGATCACTGTTTTTGGTTCTTCTTGCAAAGTTTCTTGAATACAAGTCGCACCCATTGCAAATTCTTCCTCTAAGAAGGACACCTCTACTGGAACATTCAGATTGACCTGTGGACTAGCATTCCCTGCTTCATTACCCTGACTGCTTGTTTCATCTACTGTCTCCAGGACATTATGTGTATCTTCAAATGGAACTGCATAGCTTATCTTCTGGCTAACCACTGTGACTTCCTCAGTGACAGGAGTTTTCCTCTGTTTTGTTTCCTTTATCTCCACGTGACCCACTGGTTCTCTTTCCCTGTAAAGTGCTTTCTGGTCCTTTCCAAAACTCTTCTCTGAAATAGTTTCAAACTTATCCCCAACTTCCCCTTCTGCAGGTATCGGTTGGTATGAATCATCCTTACCAACTGGTTTTTCTTCAAGACCTTGGTCTTGGTCCTTCTGAGTTACAAATGTGTCATGCAGAATGTCATCTTTGAGTATGTACTTCTCAAAATATAGTCCTGTTCCTTCATCAGTGTCAGAATGTCTGTTAGGAAATGATGCCTCCGAATTCACACTGTCACCATCAGAAGTTGTCTCCTCTTCTTTCTTTTTCTCTGCAACTGCTTCTTCATACAGATCCTTGTATAAAAATGAAAGCGCAGGTGGTTCTTCCAGGAGTTCAGGGTTAATGGGTTTAGGAGTGGTAGAAAATATCTGTGTTGGTGACAAAACTCCTTCCTCTTCGGCAAACAAAGGCATTCCAGGTGACTTTGAGTCCACATCTCTATTTATGTCCTTTGGAGCATCTCTGTCAGCTGATGTTTGGATATCCAGAGACTTTTGGGTCATTGAAGGAGAATATTGGCTATAGTCTTTATCTATTCCATAAAAACTTTCATCTAGCTTGACCAACTCATATTCATGTTCCAGGGCACTTTCCTCTGAACTTTCTGGAAAAGACACTGCTTCTTCTGTAGCCTCCTTTGAAAGTTCTGCTTCAACATTTAATTTCCATGGATCTTTCTGCTCTTCTTGTACTGGGGTGATGTTATAATCAATTAATGTATATTTTTCAAAATAATCCTCTTCACTGGGAATTGTAGGCTGGCTAAAGGCTAAGTCACCAGTTTCTGAATCTATGGTCATCTCCTCTTGTGTGTTATAAGCTCCCCTTGGTTTATTTTCTTTCAATGATGTAACTTTTCTATCAGAATCGTCTAACTCACTCTTTAATGTTTTATGGCAAGCAGCAGCTTCATTAGTATCATGGTGCGTAATTGTCTTCAATGAGGATTTTTCTTCCAAATATTCTAACTTATCTTGCATTTGTTCACTTTCTTCCTGGTCAACAGAAGAAATAAATGCAGGAGCATGAATGTTCAATATCTCACAGCCTTCAGAAATGACTCTGAAGGCACTCTTCTGATCTTCTGAAAGTCCAGCTGGCTTACTGGTCACTGCGAATTTGTCACCTTTTACATATATATCATCGGTCTCTTTAGATATTTGTTTAGTGGAAACCATTTTATCAGCATCAGTTTTTGATGCATTTGTTATAAATTCAGCATAATTACTCTCTGGTGAAGAATATGATTCATTTACACGAGCACTTTCTACAGCCTCCAAGTGGTGCTTTGACATGAGAACAGACTGTTTAGATATTTCAGATGTTTCATCCCTAGAAGTTTGAATGGTATGGACTGTATGCCTATCTACAGTCATTTCTGACCATGGCCCTCCTTGTTTCTTCTCTGTACTAATTTCTGGTGAAGCTCCTGAAGCAAATTTTTTGGGTTCTACAGGTGAGACCAAATGGGATGGTGTTTCTGTGCTCTTCGTTTTATCAAAAGCATAATCAAAAATCCTTTCAGACTCTTCAGTTTGAGACATTTGCTTTATACTTTCTTTTGTTATATCCACCAAACCGCCTTTTGCAAAATCTGACACTGTGACCTCTCCCTTTTCTTCACTATGACTCATCAAATCTCTGCTTGGTTTTACCAATATCAGGTTGCCTTTGTTAGGCAGAGACCTGTCATCTATTTCTTCACGATAAGAAAGATCCCCTGGAAGGGAGGTCTTGGCTTTCTCCACCAAAACTTCAGTTTCTCTTAATAGCTGTGGTTGAGTCTCCATTGTTTCCCTAATTTGGGGGTAAGTCTCTAAAATTGTGGTTTCTGGTTTTTCCATAACAGATGCAGCTTTAACTAATGAAGATGGTTGTGCTTCACCCAAAGAATGATCCAAAGATATAGCTGATTCTTCAGGCTTAAACTTGGCTCCAGTCACAGAATAAGGCTCAATCTCCCACTGCTTCTTTTCTTCTCGGAATACATGGGATTGCCTTTCTTCTTCTCCTTTCTCCTCCTCAATAATTGTGTAGCTCTCCTTGTGGTCTTCATTTTGACAGAATTGCGGCAGCACAGCAGCAGCTTTTGATTCTTCCGATTTAATGGGGCCAGATCCATGCATAATTTGTACCTTCTCTATTTCATTATTATGTCCAAGGTCGAATGGGCCCACAGTTTCTTGTTTTACTGCCAGTACCTTCTTTTCTAAAGAAAATGATCTGGTTTCTAAGTGATCTTTCACTTCTGTTGGGCTAACAGATCTGAGTTTTAGTTCCTCACCAGAAATGTTCAAGGAAGTCGGTTTTGGCATTTCTTTCTTTAGTCTGTCTTCACCAAGATCAATTAAACTGTCTTTAGATTCTTCTATTGGAGAAATTATTGACTCTGACTTCACAGATTCCCTCATGATATTTTCACTTGTGAAGTTAGATGAAGCTAATTTTGGCTGTTGCACCGTATCTACAGCATCAAAGGAAAAGGGTGATTTTTCCTTTTGATCAATTCTTGGCTCTTCCTTTAGAATAGAAATATTCCATTGAGATGAAGGAGAAATTTCTCTCTCCTGTAATTTTTTACTATCAGTTACTTGAATAGGAATCTCATTTTTGGCTTCTTCCATAATGGATTTTTCATTCATGGGGGAATAAGTTTGAGTTTCATGATGCTTCTTGCCATCAGCAGATGAAACTACCAAGTTTAGATCCCTTCCTTCTGCAGAATCTAAGATTTCTTTCTGCCAATTATCTTTACTAGATTCCTCCAAGTTGGATTTTGACTGTGGTGAAACTTCTACATTTGCCAAAAATGTGGGTTTTTCTTTCAAGTTTTGACCTTCATCAGATTTAACTGAAATACTTCTGGGTTCTTCAGCAACATTAAGTTTTGCCTCTGGCATTAGGTGATCAGTAGCTGGTTTTTTCATAAAATCAGTTGGAGTTGGACCTTTAGAATCTACCACAGTTCCCTCTGTTTCTACAGATGAACTCGGCTGTGTGTCTGTATCTTTTTTAGCAACTTTGTTATCTGGTGTGCTAGATCCAAAAAACAAACTGGACATCCATGATGTAAAAGATGAAATTCCTTTCTTTCCCTTTTCCTCAGAGATACCTGACTCAGCTGCTTTTGATTGTTTTGGCAGCTCTTGCATCACCTCAGGTGATTCAGGGGATTCACTGTCCAGGCTTGAGGAGAGGGGTTTTGCCAAAGTGGGTATTCTCACTTCCGGTGCTGCTTTCCCTTGCTCAGTAGTATCATCTACAACCTTGGACAGTTTTGAGTCTTCTGGTGACTTCTCTCCAGGTACAGATGTCTGCCTCTGTACTTCTTTTTCATTGTCCAGAGTAGATCCCACACCTTCTATGGTGAAATGGGCCACTCTAGCCGGAGAGGGCATCATTTCTGATCTGACATGTTCCATTGATGGTCCAGACACTGATTTCTGATGGATTCTCTCAGGAGAATGAATCTGTTTTTTCTCTACTTCATCTCTCTCTATAATTTCAGTGTGAAATGAAGATTTTGGTTCTTGTAATGAGAAATAAGATTCTTCAGCAGAACTTGGTTGAATCTGCTTTCTGATTTTATCTGCCTGGTCTTCATGAGGCTGAACAGGCTTGAGCTGCCCTGTCATCTGAGCATCTTTGTTGTTGGAGAAGCCCAGCTGCATGGATCCCCACTGTGGCTGTTTCTCTTCAGGATGACTTGCCACATCTCTTCCTGGCTCTACTCTCTGTGGAGAATGAAGGGCTTCCTTCATCTGTGTTTCTGTAGCATCTGCTGTCTCCACTGCCTGTTTATTCTGATGATCACTGAAGGTCGGGAATGCTGGAGCTACCTCTTCTGACATTAGATTTTCCAACTCAAGAGAAGATTTTGCCATTTCCTCAGTTTTGACTTTAGGAACTGTATGTTTGGGGGCAAGTGACACATTCTCCGAGGAAGAAATTTCTGTTTCTTTTTCCTTTGTCTCACCACCTAGGTGGAATGAAAGCTTGTGTTCAGGTTCTGATGCCTTTGACGAAGACACATATTTCTCTTTCTGAGATACAACCAAATTTTCAGAGTCAAGGATGTTCGAAAAAGAAATACCTTGTTCATTTTCCACCTTAGCTTTCTTAGACACATCTGAGTGCTGAGTAGACAATGTTTTGGTTATTGGCAATCCAGGTTTTACTTCTTCAGTTTCTACCTCTAATATGACAGAATGTTCTAATTTGGAGGATATGCTTGAAGGTGAATCATATTTAATTTCCTTTTCTACTTCTGACCAAACCAAACGTTTGGAGACAGTAGTTTCAGTAGAAGAACTATCTTTAATTGCTCCTTTCTCTTCTTCTTTCAGGACTGAATGTTCTTCTATAGGTGTTGTCACTGGTGACAAACCACTTCCTAATTCACTCTTTCCTACTTTTGTTAAGACTGGTTGTTCTCTGGGACTGGAAAGCAAGGAATCTGCTGGGATATCTTCTTTTGCTAATTTGGTTGAACTGGAATCCTGCTTAGTGACAGATGCAGTTATTGAAGAGCTGGATTCAACTTCTTTCTTTATTTCTTCTGACAAAGCTGAGAATTCTTGTGCAGGTGGCCCATGTTTAATTTCCTTTTCGACTCCCAGTGAAGCTGAATGGAGCACTCCAGGTGTAACTGTTATTTCAGAATCAGGTTTTACTTCTGTTTTCTCTGCTGATAAAGCCTCAGGCCCAGATGAAGATGTTTCCTTTAGAGGAAAATATGGCTGTTTTATTTCAGGCTCATTCTCTAATAACATTCTATGATCTAGTTCAGATGTCGCAGTTGGAACTAAATTGGGTTTTACATCCTCCTTTGGCTCATCTACCAAGTCAGAAAGAACTGAATATTTCATCCCAGACCCCGGAACATTTGGAGACTTAGGCTCTATTTCTTGATCCTGTGATACATGTGCAATAGCTTCTTGAGAATCGGGCACAATTGCTTCCTTACTTTTAACTTTGAATGAATCCATCTGTTCATTTGCAGATTTTGGAGTAAGTGATGCTTTGTGTTCATGTTCTTTTTTATTTGTCTGGCCTGAATCGGGTGAAACCAAATGCTGAGATGCAGTTTTGGTTTCTTCATCTACCATGGATGTTTGCACTGGTAAGGAAACAGGTGTTGCAGCTACCGAGGAACTAGCCTTAATTTCTCCCTTCTCTGATTCACTAGTTAAATATGGTGGAATCATTTCTTCAGTCTTGGGTTCTAAAGACGCTTGAGTTCCTTGTTTCTGTGCTGAGACAAGATACTCAGATACAGATGCTGCGGGAGCTTGTACATTTGGCTTAAATTCTGCTTCCTCTGATTTATGTAACTGACTAAAGTCTTCAGATGTAGACATTTTGAGATGTTCAGGCACAGGTATAGCAGCTGTTGATATAATATCTTCCTTATTTGTTTCTGAGAAGTAGGAATATGCTGAAGTAGACATATCAGACAACAAAGAATCAGGCTCAATTTTACTTTCCTTTGTTTCTGGGATTCTATATGGTGGAACTGAAACTTGTGATGATGAGTCTGGAGAAAAAAGATCAGCTTCTTCTGTGTCTTCATCTGACAAAATAGTGTGTTCAGATGGTGATGTTAAACATATTGGAGAATCATTTTCAAATTCTCTTTTCTCTGTTTCCCTCATTGCATAGGGTGAGAATGAGAATTCTGATGCAAATGCTGAATCTGGAGAAAAGGGTCCAATATCTTCTTGTTCTTCTTCTGAGAAATCTGTTGGGGAAGAGATGTCTTTTAGATTTAGGGGGGATCTGTGATCAATTTCTTCATGTGATTCTGTTGATGGGACTGAAAACTCAGAAGCAGAGATGGAGGAGGGCGTGTATCGCTCTATTTCCACTGTCTCTTCTGATAGGTCCACAGTTTCAGAGGGGGTGGCAGGAGATTGTGGAGTCTTGCATTCAGTAGTCATCTCAGCCATGTGTGGTGGGAGAGATGGTTCAGACACAGTGCCCAACTCCGGGGAGTGTAGACCCATATCTTCCTTCTCTTCGACTGATAGAACGGTGTGCTCAAAATCACCCTTTGGTTTTAATGGTGATACATCAATTATTTTCTGTGGGGATTCTGATGTTACATCTGATGGAACTACACCTTGAGAAGTCAGTACTGAATCAGACGTGTAATGTCCACTTTCTGAGGCCTCTTGTTCAGACAGAATTGTGTGTTCTCCTATAGCTGTGGGGAAAAGGGGAGGCTGGAATCCCAAAGTTTTCTCAGTTGTGGAGGGTGAGACAGAGGGTTTAGACTCAGAGGCCACTTTGTCCTCTGGGGAAGACAATCCAGTGTCTTTCTTTTCTTCTTCTGATAAAATGGTATGCTCAGAAACACCTTTCGATTTTAATGGGGACTTCTGGTCAACCATCTGCTTTACTGGTTCTTTTACTGCGAGTGAAGGAACTGTCTCTTCCAATGCAGATGTGGAATCTGGTGTGTAATGCCCACTTTCTGAAACTTCTTCCTCAGATAGAACCGTGTGTTCTGAGGTCCCTGCTGAGAACTGTGGCGACTGGCATTCTGAAGGCTTCTCACTTATGACCGGTGATAGAGAGTGTTCAGATACAGAGGCTGAAGCTGGGGAATAAGATTTAAATGCCTCATTCTCATCTGAGAAAACTTCACGTGCAGATTCAGTTTTTACATCAGCAGGTGATAGTGGTTCAAGTTCTTGCTTCTCCAGTTCATAGTTCAAATCCTGTGGCACTGAGCACTCTGATGCAAAAGCAGAGTCTGTAGAAACAGACTCAATTTCCTCTCTTTCTTCCTCAGATAAAATAACATGTTCAGGCATTGGTGTAGCTGGTGTGGCTAGACTGGGCTCCTCTTCCTTCTGCTCCACTTCAGGGGCCATATGTGGTGGGAAGGGCTTCTCAGAAACAAATGGACTTTCCAGATAACCAAGTTCTTTGATCTCTTCTTCTACTAAATTAGAACCTGTAGATTCAGGGATAGCAGCTGTTGATAGAAAAGCTTCTTTTTCTTCTTTTTGTGGTTCCTCTGATATCGAAGGTTCAGAAAGAGAAACAGCTGGTTCTGGCTCCTTTTCCTCCTTCTCTCCTTGGACATCAAGATGAGGAGTGGTCTGCTGTTCAGACACTGATTCTTCCCTTTCTAGTGAAGTCACATCTATCTCTTTTTTCTCTGGGCTCAAACCTTCCTGGGCAGATGCTGCCTGACCTGATGAAGCTGTTTCCAGAATGTCATTCTCCCCCTCCAGGGAAACAGAAAGATTGGATGAATCCTTGAATTCCTTCACCTCTTCCACTAAAGGAGGAGAGACTAAGGAGTCATGCTCCGCAGTTACCAGTTCTTGTGAATCAGACTCAAGGTCTTCCTTGGCTGCTTCCAGAGGCACCGTTGCTGGTGTATCCGGGGTGATAGAGGTAGGCTCCATTTCACTGGACTTGGTTTCTGTGCTTGGATGTGGCGGAACTGACTGTGAAGTGAGATGTTCCTGCACTGCTGTGTCACTAGTCGTCAAAGACGAAACTGTATGCTCAGCAGCAGATGTGGGCTTCTGGGGAGAATCAACATAAGTTTTCTTCTGATCTTCATGACTGAATGAGGTCAGAGACTTCGATGCTTTGGAGGAGAGTGCACCTCTCCAGGGTGATGCAGGCTCTTTTATCTTATCATCTCCTGTGCTTTGGGCTCCTAATCTACTTGCTTTAAAGCCTTTATTAAAATCACGATTGTCCAAATCGGACTCTAAACTAATGGATGCCTCTTTCCCCTTCCTATAATGTATTTCTTTAATTACATAACCCTTTGGCAATGTCCCATAAAATTGCAAAGGAATTAATTCCTCTTTAACAGAATTAAACATCTTAATTTTATACTGCACTGTTCCTATGTAGACTGGTCTTAACACGAATGGTTTGTGTTCTTTGTAAATTGCCCCAGTAATAGGAGGTGTATTTGAGGTGGTCTTCTTTTTTCTTGTTCTATCATAACTTCCAGTAGAAAAATTTTCTTTGTGGGTGTTTAGTGCCTGGCTCTCTGAAATTAAAGGAGTTCCTTTCTCATCTGCTAAAACATCTTGGGATTCCAAAGAATTTCTTTTTTTGTTGCCTTTCCGCCGCAACGATGGTGAACCATGCTTTGACTTGGGCTTTCTTTTCCGACCCTTCTTAACTTCATCCACAATAAAGGAAACATTCCCGGGAGGAGAATTCATAGTTGACCCTTCCCGACTACACACACCAGACGTCTGACTCTCTTCTGAGGCCCATGGAGTCGAAGACCTACTTGAATTGGTCTCCCAGGTGATTCCACTATCTTCCCGTTGAACCGTTACCATGGAAAAGGAAGGGTCAGAGATGATACACTGTTCCTTGGTCTTTCCCTCTTCATCCTCATCTGATAACCTATAGTAAATAAAGTTTTTGAAATTAATAGTATGAATAATACCTATAATTCTTAATGTAATAAAAAATGGCATTAAGTTACTCACTTGTTCTAAATAAATGCCCTATTTTGTTCAGGTAAGGGATTAACGTGAAACCCAAAAATATAGATGAATATTGCCACCTATATAAAGAAAATGGGGAAGTATACAAAATAAGGTTTAAACATTGAAGTTAAAAATACAAATACAAAAGCACATCCAGGATCAGAGAGATAACTCAATGGCCAAACACTTATCTTGAAGACCTAAGTTAAATCTCCACACTTCATTGTTCCCAAGCAATGCCAGGAATAACCTTTGGGTATAGAGCCAGGAATAACACTCCCCGCTGTGTGACCCAAAACAAACGTAGAAAACACATTCAAGGCTTGAATGAATCTGCATCCCACAAACTCCAAAAATAAAAGTAAAAACCCCAACTTGAGTAAAATTTATCACCTTCCCTTTTGAGGATGCCACCCAGGGCTCACTCAGTTTCTTGTTTGCACCCTCTAGAGCCAAGATCTTTGGCACGGTCCCTGCATCTGTGTCCTGCATCGGTCCTGACCTATTCCAGCATGCACTCCACCCCTTTGAGCTATCTAGCCCCCTCCCTGCACTGCAGCACTGTCCTCTCACTGTTCACCGATTTGCTCAAGCAAAATCGTCCCCCTTGTGATACTTGTTGTTACTGTCTTTGGCATATCGAATGTGTCACTTGCTAGGTAGCTTGCTAGGCTTTGCCATACAGGCGAGATACCCTTGGTAGCTGGCCGGGCTCTCCGAGAGGGGCAGAGGAATCGAACCCAAGTCACCCAGGTCGGCCGCGTGCAAGGCAAACACCCTTTCGCTCCAGCCCACCCCCTTCCTAATCTAGCATTTTATAATAGTGTTTTAATTACTTCTTAACTGGTCAGCTGACATAACATTTATCTCTCAGCCAGGTTCCTCAGCCTCAAACCACCCTGACCATCTTTGAGACCAATTTTACTAAAAATGTTCAGCATGCGACTTCCTATTCAACAACAACAAAAAAGTATCTCTCAAAAATTCCTTTGAAGTGTAGGGAGAAAGTGTTCAAAACTTTTAGCTCTCTGATCCCTAGTTGGCCTTATTTTCAAGTACCCACTGCATCCTAACCAAACTGGCACATTTCTGTTATAACTATAAAACTTGCTATCTGGTAACTAAACCATGGTGACTCTGAAGCAGTAAACAAAGGCCACTGAACAGAAAGATAGAAGGATCCCAAAAACATGGCTTACTGAGGGAGAACTTTCTTAACTATAAACCAGGGATCATAGCAGAACCTACTTCATGAGACTATCATGAACTTATACTAGCTACATGAAATATTTGGGGAAAGTACCAGACTTAGAGTCCGTGCTCAATAAACTAAAATCAGGCTTTTCTCAAAGTTCTTGGGCTAGACACCCAGGTTGTCTAGATGTGATCAATGTTTTATTGGGCCCGAGGGTGACACATAATGGCGCTCAGGAGCTGCTCCCTACATGCTGTGTGGGGAACCCAGTGGTGCCAGGGATCTAACCCAGGCCTCCGATACACAAAGAATGTGCATTCGCACTTGGAGTTATCTCCCCAGCCATTGGGGCGTTTTCAACTGCTGGAGATGTTTGGGAAGGAAGACAGAGTCCATGCACTGCTCTCCTTTTCCCTCAAGAGACAGCTGCTTTGGCAACCAGGACTTCAGCTGCTGTCGGGTTCCTGCTCAGGTTTCTCTGCCCTCCTCTGAACATTTGGCTGAAACTTTATACCCACCCTCTCCCCATGATCAGACTGTTCCTTCATTAAGAATACTTCTTTCCATCCCACTCCCACTCCACTCTGTCTACACCTTTTCTGCATTTCTAGTTTATACCTACTCTTCAAACCTTCACCATACCAGTCTTGACCAAATCAGCAGTCAAATTTGCCATCACACCATAATAATTAAACTCATTAAAAGTTTAATTAAAAGTCAAGTACCCACTGCATCCCACTGTCGCAGATAAGTGCCACAGGGGTTAAAGGGGCTTGCCTTGCTTCCCTCTGAGCCTACTTCAAATGCCCACAGCACCCCAAATGGTCTCCTGAGAACTGCCAGGGGTTACTCCTGAGCACAGAGCCAGAAATAGCCTCTGAGCACTGGTGGGTAAAAGGATTAAAATTCCATGAGCTAAGAAGACCTTGACACTTTCATAGAGGGAAGTTTATAGTGATCAGTGGTGGGCTGGAACACTTTATGCCTGAAACTCTATTATTAACAGTATTGTAAATCACGTTTGCCTAAATACAAATTGGAGAGGGAAAGAAAATTCCATGGGCTATATTCTTCCAGGAATAATTCTATAACTTAAACAAATACAAATTACTTACTGGCTTAAAGTTTTACTAAGAGCATAAAAATAATTCCCCCAAACTGCTAAAATACCACTAAATATAAATATTAATGTAAGGCACTTTTTAAAACATGCAGTTGGTAATCAGGTTCCTTATGGTTTTCTTAGGTCATTGGTGATTGCATTGGTCCTTCTCTCTGGATGTATTTCAGAATGGTATGTAGAGAACTTTTTTTAAATACGCTATCTAGGGGGCCAGAGAGATAGTACAGTGGGGAAGGCACTTGCCTTGCACTTGGCCAAGCGAGGTTCTATCTTTGGCATTCCATATGGTCCTCTGAACCTTGCCAGGAGTGATTCCTGAGCACAGAGTCAGAGTCAGCCCTGAAAACTGCCAGTGTAACCCCAAAACAAAACAGAAAAAAGTACAGATATCTTGAGCATTGCCAGGGTGACTAGATAGTCCCCACCACTGTAATGCTGAACTTTCAGACCCACACAGTGAACCACCAATCCAGTAGGGTCACCAGGAGCATCATTAGGGACAACTCTCAGTCCCCTAAGCAGGATTTGGGGGCCTCCACATAAAATAAAAAGACAAAGATCTCTGCCAGGAGTGGTTCTTGAGTAAGTCCTGCATACTTCCAAGTGTAGCCCAAAACCAAAACCAAAACCAAAACTATATCTATACCACTCCATTTCCCTTCCTAAACCGATGCAACTGTTCTAGGGGAGGAGCTGAGTATCATTGTGACTCTGATCCAAGGGTGAAGTACATGCCTGCATGCATGAGACTTGGGGTCTCCTGCACTGAAAGTAAGTAAAGTAAAGGCCCTCCCGTTGATCGTCGATTTGCTCGAGCGGGCCCAGTAACGTCTCCATTGGAGACTTTGCTGTTACTGTGTCTGGCATATCGAATACATCACGGGGAGCTTGCCAGGCTCTGCCATGTGGGCGAGATACTCTCGGTAGCTTGCCGGGCTCTCCGAGAGGGGTGGAGGAATTGAACTCGGGTTGGCCATGTTGGCCGCTTGTAAGGCGAACGCCCTACAGCTGTGCTATCGCTCCATAAATAAGTACAAACCTTCTGGTGACTCCATCATAAATCCAGACTTGAAAATCACTGACAGCAGCAATCCTAACTCCTCTATTTAAATAGCTTATCTTGCTGGCCCACACTGATCTTTCCTAGTTTGCTTGCAGGAACAGTCCATTTCCCATTCTTCAACCCTGAGTTTCGCCTAACATTTGCTGTAAAGAGTTCTGCACTGCCAAGATACTTTGTTCCCACCCCAGTTTGATTTGATCCTGGGGGCAGCAGCCAGAGCCCCTGAACGCGTATTCTTCAATCGCCCCATCCATTCACCCCAGAGGGCTATAAATAATGTCATTTTCTGTTTATGTCATGAGTGAAATGAGTTGAAAAGCAGTGGGAAGAACCAGTTTCTCCATTTCCTTGGCAACTCTGCACTCACTAATTTGCTTTGGTATTGAAAGCTGAACTTAATTAGAAATGAATACCCTGGCTTGCTTCAGAGCTAAAACTTATTTTCAAGTGTTTTTCACGCTCTTTCACACACCTAACTAGAGTCATTCCTCAGAAATTTTTATTCTTACTAGCCCTCCTCTCTTTTGTTTACTTAATAGAAGCAAAATGAAATTAAAATTTCTGGTTATGACAAGTATCTGGGAAGTCAGCATTTTGAAAGCCCATGATTGTGGTAGTTACAAAAACAATTATAAATTCAATTTAAAGTTAATTATTGATGCTAAATCCAAGGCACTCAATCAGAGTTTTCATTACTAGCTAGAATGAGTTCCTTAGTGATTGAACTGGGATAGGTGCTGTGCAAGACTATCCAGTTCAATCACAGTGCCACAAATGGTCTCCTGAGTACGGGCAGGAGTAATCCCTGAGCATACAGTCAGGAGAAAGTGCTAGATATGGCCCAAAAACTAAGAGAGTGAGTGAGAGAGTGAGAGAGATGGGGCGGAGGGCGAGGGGGGGAGGGGAGAAAGAAAGAAGAAAATGATCTCCTAAGAGTTGAGAAATATGTTTTTTGTTCTCTTCACTATGAAGATGTATACATCAACTTTCATAGTTATGGAGATTTGTTTGTTCTCTTTTGTTCTCTAATTCTCAGAATGATCATCTAAATATTTTCTGGCTTCCCATGTCCACTTATCTACAGGAGGGAGGATATATCTTGATGACCTAAGTAAATCACTTCCTTTTCCCCTCCATAGTTGGGCAAAGAGAATTCAGCTGGATCAAGAAAAGAACAGACTGAGACTGGAGCAATAGCACAACAGGTAGGGCGTTTGCCTTGCACGTGGTTGACCCAGGTTCGATTTCCAGCATCTCATATGGTCCCTGGAGAATCGCAAGGAGTGATTCCGGAGTGCAAAGCCAGGAGTAACCCCTGAGCATCGCCGGGTGTGACCCAAAAACCAAAAAAAAAAAAAAAAAAAAAAAAAAAGCAAAAACAAAGAAAAGACTGATACCAGAACTAGATGCTAAGCCCTTCTTTCCTTTTTTTTTTTTTTTTGCTTTTTGGGTCACACCCAGTGATGCTCAGGGGTTACTCCTGGCTCATGCACTCAGGAATTGCTCCTGGCAGTGCTCGGGGGACCATATGGG